GTTTCTGAATCTTAAAGTAAGCGGGGTGTAATGAGCGAACTATAAAGTTTTGTCTCTATTTGTACGAGGAGCGCTTTACTTTTCAATCTCCTATTCGGACCAAAGTAACAGCTGTAGATAAGCAAGAGAGTTTGCGTGAGACTTCAGCGCTGAGGTTGTTGTTTGTTATTATGATGACTCCTAGATAAACGAAATCGTCTTCAACTTCAAAGACCATACGCGAGTGCGCTGATGATATTTTGCTATGTAATCACTCTGCAGGGGAGAACCAACTAGTTAAATACTAGTATGTTGAAGATGAGTCATATACCAGTTCATTATATTGTTAAGAAGTCCACCAGTAACGAGAGAAATAACAATTTCCACCACGGTTTGTTGTTGTTATATCAGCAGACAGAAGCTGAATTCCATTCTCTGCGCCGTTGTTGTTGCTGTTATATCCCCAGACCGTGGCTGAGTTCCATTCTCTGCTCTGTTCTATTGAAGTGCGCAAAATAACATTGACCGTTTGCCTCGTCATGATAGCCGACTGGTTAGAGGCTATCTCTGTAGCACGTTTTCCCCAGTTCGAGTCCCGCTAGTGGCAATTTTAATTTTTTTTTTTTAATTTTTGTGAAACAGAAATTATTACCTCCACATCATTGGTATGTTGTTTTTGTTTTTAGTACGACACGGCTGAGTCACATTTCCTAAAAAGTTCTGTTCAGGTACGCAAATTTCATTCCTCCAAATATCATGAAGATAGTCTGATGGTTAGAGGCCTTCAATTTAGTGCATGAGGGTCTCGTTTCAATTCTCGCAGCCGGGCTGAATTTTATTTGAATAAGTTTTTTTTTTTGTGAAGTAGAAATTCAACATGCCTAAATGAACTAGTAGTCAGCTCTTAGGACAACGCCATGTTAAAAATACGAGTTGCTTACATGGAAAATGGATGAAGATGAACTAGTTGGTGTAAAAATGTAGTCTAGTTGAATTGACTACTAGTACTTTGTCCTGCAGGACACTCATTAGCAGGTCTATTCACTTCCCACTTCCTTTGTGTGGTCAATCTGACAAACGAGACGGTTCTTTGGAATACCAAATTTAGATATAATACCCTTTCATGCGGCCAGCGATGGTTTTTAAGTCGATGAAAAGGTGTGGTTTTGTCGGAAAAGAGAATTATTTTAAAAAGCTCTCTTACTTATAGCGGAAACAAGCTCGGTAAACCGTTGATCAACCCATAATAGAGTGTCAACGGAATTATCATGGAAATGAAATCCGATTCTTCCTTGTTTCGTACTCATATCATCCCTAGTTGATTAATGGTATATTTATTGTAATTTTCTTTAAAAATTATTGCTTTTAAATAAATACAAATGGGTTTACTCTCTTATACTCATATTCTTGTAATATTTATGACCTTCGTCTCACATCGTCGCCGCTACAACTTTGTCGCTCTTTCCCTTACTCGACTGCCCAAAACGGTACACGTGCCATCGATTGATCGATGATTTGTTGTCTGCTCAATGTCACTTAAAATTCGCTAAAAAAAAAAAGTTTTCTTTGAATTCGTTGATTCAGCTCAGGTGTAAAGAGTGGGTTTTGTGGTCTGCGCACACATACATATATGTAAATATATTTATTATATAAATAAACTATTTTTTACTACTTTGCTTTAGTTAAATGCTTTTCTCCTCTTTTATGAAAATTCGATCGTAAATTTTTAGTACAACAATTTACAACAACGAATTTATTTGTATTTATTCAAGCGTTTCATAAGACGGCAACAAAGGGTTAGGGCGCTTAGCACACTCGGTTGCTCAATTGGATGAGTTGTAATGGCAAAAAATGTCTTATTTTATTTTTTGGAACTTTTATTGTTTTTTACCGTTTTGTCATTTTGTGCTAAATAATTGAGACGAACCTAATTCTTTTGAGGCGAGTAAAGAATGTAAGAGTTGTAACAACTGTAGCTAAAGAGACGGATGGAAGAAGAAGACCACATCTGCTCAGATAAGTATGTACAAATTAATTTGGTCCATTATATTGTGTTCGAAGAAGTGTGTTTTGTATTTTGAAATGAAGATTTTTGTCCCTAAAAAATCAGTGCTTGATGCAATCATTGAGCCATTCTTCGATTTTTCCAAAAGACTCGAACCGGTGTCCTCCGGCGAAAAAGCCAAACATCGCTTGAAATATCCGAATCGAAGAATGGCTTAAGGATTGCATCAAGGACTGAGGGGTGTAATTTTTAGGAGCAAAACCATCATTTCTCAAGAAAAGAAAATACTTTTTCAATACAAGAAAATACAACGAATGGGCTAAGATCTTTTATTTCAGCATTCCAAATAGTTGATGTCAGTTACGCAAAATCAAAAATCACCTTGACTTGATTTTCGGTTATTATTTGCAGTGTGGATAATGTTTTGAATCATTGCTTGCGCCTGGTTTTAGCAGCTCATAGCACACCACACCCGTCTGGTCCTACCATATGCAGTGCATGATCTTCGAATTGTGGATGTTTTCCTTTGGCGTCGATGTAGATAATGTTGAAACGGGTACAGCGGGCTTGGCATAGTAGATTTTCTTCTTAGGGTTAACGGTGTATATCCACCTCTCAGCCTCAGTCACGATCTGGTGCAAAAATCCATTCCGTTTGATATTTTTCGGCTTTAATTCGTACGACAGACGATTTCATTGCTTTTGAGTAATGCCGAATTAGTTTAATCGAACGAAAAAATTGTAATATGTTGAGTCTTGAATGGTAATTTGTTCAGAGAGTTTGCTAAACTATTGCGTTATTAACTAAAAAAACTCCCTTACGTGTAGTGCGTGTGGCCGCTCTGGCTCGGAATTTCCTCGAACGACCATCATGGTTAATTCCACACCGTTTGAAGAAAACAAATTTTTTCCGCCCTTCTTTGCGCAGAATTTTGTATAAATATCTCGCTATGAAGGCTTCAAAGTCCAAGTCCATTAATTCGGGAACTGAAACAGCAAGGGATTAGCCGTCGATTGGCAGGATATTATCATTGTTACCAAAAAATCAACTTTTCGAATTAAGCTCATATTTAAGTTGGCGGATAAGCTAATAAACAAAGCCATCGCTTTTGGGGCTCAGAAAACCCAGTAGTATAAGCAGTATACATGGATAAGCCAAGGTATTCTCAACATGCCACACCGTGAATAGGTCACATCGTCAGTCCGAGTTTCTTCGAAAACAAGGGATGATCCATGCCTAGAGATTTTTGCCTCCAAATGATGAAGAAAATGACTTGGTCAATATCTGGTTAGAACAGGAAGACGTTACGTGTCAAACAGCCAACACTGCAATCGATCTTTTATGCATTGCGCTGTAAAGTTCACCGACCGCCCCGCAGCTGTGATTCGACTTCGGCTGGAATATTTTTTCTGTATAAAAACCTCCAAGTCTGCCAGGTATAGAACCTACAAGAGTGCGAGATAGTAATCGTCATGACGGCAGAAATATTTGGACTTGGGGAATGTCGGAAAAAAGTAACTTGAGGTATTCAGTTGTAGTCTGTTCATATATCTCAGTCAGATACCTATCATGATTCAGAGTCTTTGGCACAGAAAGCTTTGTTCGGTTAGGTTAGGTTGAAGTCGGCCTCCAAGTAGTGAAGTTATGATACCACTAAGGATTTCTTGAGCAACATTCCCTTGATCAATGGAATGTGTGGAGCCTACAAAACTTAAATGCTTTTCTTTCGCACTCTACGATGTCTTGAAGGACGTAAAGAAAGTTAGAAAGTGCTTTGTTGTAGTCAATCACTGGTGCGCTAAATCTCTCTGCGCGTCTGTGCATAAGAAGCTCTTTCCCCTCCCAGGCGGGCATACTATGCACCTCTTATTCATCAAGGGAATCTCCTGACCAGTTTGAGTTTGATTCTATGCTTGGGAACCCAAATAGAAACCATAGAGCTGCTAGCGAGCTTAAGACTTCCCCAGAATAGTTTGCCACGCTGAAGTTTACCATTGGCGCTTTCTCGTCTATCCGAGTAAATGGTTGCGTTATCTAGTATATCCGCTTTGAAGAGACTAGCTCGGTTTGGGAGGCGAAAAGGGATGGAGATGCTGAGTTCCTTAAAGTACGCCGCCACCAACACAGCGCAGTTCATTATGCGCTCATCGGCAGTCTAGATTGACATAATATAATCCACACTCTTCTTCAATCACGTCTAAAAGGCCTTTGAAGTGGAAAAAAGCACTTGAAATCTAGTCTTGGGAGTATGTTGTTTGCTTTAATTGAAGGTGGTGTGAGTTGGTTTAGTATACCGCTATGTCCAAACAGTGTTTTGGCTCCTACACCCTAGCTTCATAAGTTTGATACTGCTCTGTGGTCGTTCCTAGTTTAAAAATATGCGACTGATGTGCCTTTCGACGCAAAGGCTCGCAGATAGCACCAGCTCCGATGTTGCTAAAAACCTCGGAAGACTGCTACGGCATACTACTCGGGCTCCAATGACCCTTCTCGACAACGGGTACTAACTATATCCGGCGAAGGGTCTCATATTTTAATGTAATAAATCACCAAATGACGCCAAACCACAAAGAAATCGCAATTAAACTGGTTAAATATTTACATGCAGTAAGCCGATCGCACACAAAGACGGCCAGGCACAGCCAGCCAAGCGAATGCACAGATAGGGTTTACTGTGCGAAAAATTTGTGCGCGAATATCTCCAGCTTAATCAACATGTTTGCTCATTCGTTTGTTTGTTTATCAACAACAGCAAACCACCAATAAAAACAAACACCGACCAACGACTAACGATCCAATCGTGTATTAAATGCTTGAGCAAACTCGTAAATCAATGCGCGCGCACCCATCGAGCTTACTCATTTGTCGGCAACTCGTGGCCGGTGAGACGTAAAATTAAAGTAAAATGGATAGAATTAAATTAAAAGTCTCAATCTTAGAAAACTAAATGCAATTTTATAGCCACTCAGTCCTTCCAGTCACTCCTCTCCACCCACACCCGTTCGGCGGAACTTACCTAACAAACTGTTTGACTGCGCACCCTGCACCAGGCAAATGGCAACGATGAACACAGTCGTCAACAACCAACAGGCGCTGAACTTTGACCGCGGTCCTGGCCATGCCCGTAGATAACGTGGCACATGTTGATGTTCATCGTATCGCCCTTGTTGTTGGTGTTGTTGCTGCTGTTGGAATTCGTGCTGCTCCAGCTGCAGCTGATGAGATTGTGAGGGCCAAAGATGTGGTCGTTGTTGCTGTCGTCGCCTTTGCCGGCAATTGAAGTGTTGGCATTCCTTGGTTGCGCAATGGCAATAGTCGTCAACCTTCTTTTTACCAGAGGCCTCAGCGTCAGCATCAGCAGCAGCAGCAGCAGCAACAGCGCAGACCGTGTTGTCATTGGTATCTGCAACAATTGCCATTGCGCGCACGAATTCGTTGTCGACTGTCAGCAATGTTGGCTTGGTTGTTGTTGCTGTCGTTTCTCGTGTGATCACTTCTCGCGTTGTTGTTGTTTTAATTGCATGCTGTCGTTTTGTTGTGCGTTGTTGCCGTCGTCGTTGTGGCTTTCGCCTTCTTCGCATTTCCGTATGCATTGCAAGTGTTTTATTCTCTGTTCTTCTCTTCCTTTTAATGCTTTATTTTTTTCCTATCTTTTGTGGGATTTTACTTTAAATTAACAGGATTTCACGATTTGCGGCAAATATTTAGGAGCGTCTCTGCGATTTATTTCATTTTAAATTATTGTTTTTGCTTGTTGATTTTGATGTCGTTTTTGCTTTAAAGTTTCCATGATGGCCTGGAAGAGGGAAGAGACGGGTTAAAATAAATATTGATTAATTAAAGATTTGGACAATGTTTCTTTTTGCTAAAAATATTTTTTTTTAATTAATCTAAATATAATTTAATTTTATTTTTCTTTTAAATATAATTTTTACCTTATTTACTTAAATTAACTTCGGTTTTTTAGTAAGTTTTTTATTTTATTTAAATGATTTTATTTAATTTTAATTAAATTGCAATATAATTAATTTATTTTATCATCTTTTATTTTATTAATTTTTTTTATTTATATATTTATATTTTTTTATAATTTTAAATTTTTCTTTTGTTTATATAAATTTTTACTTTATTTAATTTAATTTTCTTTCATTTTTAATATTTTATTTTATTTTATCTTATTTTATTTTATTTTATTTTATTTCATTTTATTTAATTTAATACTATTTTTTTGTGTTATCTTATATTATTATTTTATTTATTTTTATTTTATTTTATTTTATTTTATTTTATTTTATTTTATTTTATTTTATTTTATTTTATTTTATTTTTATTTTATTTTATTTTATTTTATTTTATTTTATTTTATTTTATTTTATTTTATTTTATTTTATTTTATTTTATTTTATTTTATTTTATTTTATATTAAGTTATTTTATTTTATTTTTTTTTGTTTAATTTATTTTATTTTATTCACTTTAATATTATTATATTTTGTATTATATTATTTTATATTATATTAATTTATTTTATTTATTGTATTTAATTTCATTTGTTTTTATTTTTTTATATTCTTTTACATGGCTTTATTTTATTTTTTACTGCATTTTAGTGTTATTTATTAAATAACATTTTATTTTATTTTGTTTTATTTCGTTTTATTTCTTATAAATTACTTTTTAAATTTATTTCATATTTTATATAGTTCTTTTTGGTATATTTTATTTTTATATTTTATTTGTACCAATACCTTTTGTTATTATTATTTTTGTTATTTTTTATTTAACTTCTATTTTATTTTACATAATTATAATTTTTCTTAATTTTTTTGTAATTTTTTTTGTTCTATGTTGTTTTATAATTAGTAAATTATTTATTCTACGAAAAGTGTATATTCCTTCAAATGCAACCACTTAGTACCCCACACATACTCTCACAGCTTCGAATATCCATTCACACCACGCATAATTATTTTTAAATCTTTTCCGTGCTTTTCATAGCTCTCAAGCAATTAGCAAGCCTTCCACTTAAGTCAACTACAAATTTAACCAAAAATCAGTACAAATTTCACTTATTCACAAGAGTACTCAATACAATACTCGACTCAGCTCTTAAACGTACAGGTAAGTCAAGTATCACCAGAGGCCTAAAGAATAGATTTTTTTGGAAGTGCGGCAGGAGTTGCAAAAAATGTCTAAAATTATATGGGAGTGTTTTCATGCCTATTTCAATATATGTGCATACATATACATATGTATATATAAAAAATTTAGAAACTTTCCCACACACTTCAGTTCAAAAGGAGAATTTCATGCGTCGCGTGCGTTCGAGTACGTGAGTATGCGGAGGTTAATGAGATCTCCCTCTGCTCCGACTATAAATGATTGACGTATGTTGACCAAGTGGCCACTTTAACTCAAAATTCACGGTAAATTTTGACAATGTGCAAACACACACGAAGAATTTCGGTTAGTCAGATCGAGAATGTACAATTATTCTTAGATATAAAAGATGAGGAATTAAAATAAAATTAAATTGAAAATAAGAAAAACTGCATTAAGCAAAAACAAAAAAAAACACCAAAAGAACGAAGTAAAATAAAATAAAGAAAAATTCGAATATAAAAACTATAAAAAAAAATTAAATTAAAATTAACTATTTTATTTAAAATTTAATAAAATAGAGTAAAAGGAATTAAAAAAATAAAACAAAATAATAACATTAATAGCATAGTATAGTATTTCATTCTAAAAAAAAATATAACAAAAATTATTTAATAAATGAAGCATATAATTCAAAATAAACAAAAATGCAAAAATTAAAATATTGAAAAAGTAATATTAAATAATTTAAATAAAATACATTTAATTAAATGAAAATAAAAAAAACAATATAAAATAATATTAAATAAAAATAAATTAAAAGAAATATAAAATAAAATAAAAAATAAACAAAAAAAAATAAAATAAAATAAGAATAAAATAATATAAATAAATAAATAAATAGAATTAAAATAAAAAATCAAATTAAATTAAAAATACGGTAAAATTAAATAAAATAAAATAAAAATAAATTTAAAAAAATATAAAATGAAATAAACTAAAATAAAATAAAAAAATAAAAAAAAATAAATAAAATAAAATAAACTAAGATAAAATAAAACAAAAAATATGAACTAAAATAAATAAAATAAAAATAAAAATTAATTTAAACCAAAAAAATGTTAAAATTAAATAAAAGATATCTTAAAAAAATTATGTTTAATTAAGTAGAATAAAACAAAACAAAACAAAAAAGGAAATGAGATAAAAGAATATAAAATATAATAACCAAATTGAAATAAGATAAAGTAAAAAGTGATTTAAAATTATATTGATTAAAATAACTATTATAAAATATATAAAAATAACTTAATTAAAAAATGGATGAAAATACATTTAATCAAGCAAGATTAAACGTAAATAAAGTAAAAATAGTTTAACTAGAGCATGAACAAATGAAACAAAATTAAATATTAAAAAAAAATTAATTAAAAATAATACTATAAAAAATTAAATTAATTTGAATAACAAACAGTAAAATAAATAAAAAAATGTAAATGGTTTGAAACTCATTTAAATAAAATTAATTAAAAAAAAATTAAATGAAAAAACTTTAATAAAATAAAGTAAAATAAATTACAAATAACTTCAAATAAAATAAAATAGAAAAAATAAATTAATTTCATAAAATGAATTCAGCATAATAAAATAAAATTAAACAAAGTAAAAAAAAGTTGAATGCGAATATAAAAAAATTAAAATAAATTTAATTTATTGTTTAATAAATTTGGAAAATTAAAAAATTAAATTAAAACAATATTAAAAATCATGTTAAAACACTAATTTAAATAAAAAGTAATAAAATTAAATGAGCTTGAATAAACTAAAATATAACAAAAAATAAAACAAATAAAATATATCAAAATAAAATAAATGAAATAAATTATAACACAAAATATAACAGAAAAATTAAAAAAAATTTAAACCAAACAAACCGAAATAGATTAAGCTAAATTAATTTAATGTAGAAAATATAATAAACTAGAATCAATATAATTTTACACAGTGAAATGACATTAACAAAATAAAATAAACTCAATTAATTAAAATTAAATTATATATAACGGAACAAAATGAAAGTAATCAGATTAAAAAAATCTGATTGGAAATAATTTACATTAATTAAAATTAACCCGAAAGCCTTGAGAAAATAGTTTTCCTTTAACGTTTTTTTTTTCGCCTTAATTCCATGCTGAACTTTCATCAATCTCGCCCTCCATTCGTAAAATTAAATTGCATGCCTTTGCATTTCTCTATTCGCAAGCCTTTCACACTTTATTTCAATTAAACTTGCTGCTTATCAATTGATTTGGTTTTTTTTTTTTTTTGAGGTTAAACTATCAAATCACTTACTGTCATAATTGTTGTGATTAATTTCAATATTTTTCGCACTCAACATATGTATGTATGTATGTATGTATGCATGTACAAGCGAGGAATGTGTTGAATACAGATCGAGGTGCCAGACACTGAGAAAATGCAAACTTATTATGCAATCACGTACGATCTCTCTCTCTCTCCCTCTCGCTCTCTTACGCGCCCTCCCCCTTCCTACGCAGTACAACTACAAATTGGCGCGCATTCTTTAAACGAATTGCAGTCGATATTTGGAGCATAATTTCAAATTCATATAATTCATAATGCAATTCGGTCTAACTAGGAAGTTTCATCTGGGCGGTTCATTAGCGAACTGACAGCTGCGGCAGCCGACGTCTGTTTGAGAAAGTCGAGAATAGACTAAAAGGTATGCAGCTCTATTACTTTTTACGCTTATTTGGACAGCTGTGGGTGGGCGTGCACCAAGTACTACGTCTCATGTTACTTAGTAGTGTCGAGCAAGCAGCGTATGGTGGCGTGGTGGTGATATACGAAAGACGACAGAGCACGCATTTGGACAGTTGCAGTGGCTACTACTACAGGTACTACTACTAGAGACAACAGCAATTACTTCTGGTGCTACCGAGACTGCTATGACTATTTTATGATTTAATTCAGCGGCAGCCAGCCAATTTGTGATCGGCCGAGACGGCATGTGGGTGTGCAATTTCCATAAAGTTGAACTGTAATTGGATATTCTGTCATGAATCTTAGGTAAAAATGCGTTGGAGATTTGTTTGCTGGCGCACTTCATAGCTTACGCGCCTGCTTACCCGCTCGTTTGTTGGGGAACAAGTCATTAGTGGCTAGCGGCATTTGAAATGCGTTTTATGTGAGGGGAACTCAATAAATATCTGTCTGTTTGTCTGTCTGTGCGTGTGTGGGAATTTGCAAACGCTTTTACTCCCAGTCAGCAGTTTCAACTCCATTCCCGTTGCGTTCGACTATCGACGACCGTTTACCTTGACAAAACTTGGACTAAACACTGTATCTTTACTACACTTACCGTAGGCTTAATAAGGCAAAAGCTCTTTAGGATTAGAGAAAGAGAAACAAAAGAGTAGTAAAATAACAAATTTAAATAAAAATAAAAATTAAACTTTAAAAACATTGAACAAAACACAAACCTCGTACCAATTTGTTTAGCGCTCGAAGCGCAGAAAAGAGACTACCGCTGAAGACTGAGCATTAGAGGCGTTAGAAAAAGTGGAAGCAGCCAAATGAGTTAGTAAAAAAACAAGTGGTTGTTGGTCAGTATAGAATTACAAAACTGGCGCCAGTCAAAAGGCATTAACATTTTTATAGTGAAAAAGTGTAAAAT